AAAGACTTGTTACACCATAGGTCACAATTTTCACCAACTGCCATCCCTTTCAAAAGATAAATCAATTCCCCGCCAGATGAAACAACCATTACCTGTAGATGCAAATGTTTCAATTGCAAAAAATTCACCCTCTTCCATCTTTGTCTGCTCCCCTCCTTTAACTATGGGAACAGATTTTCCAGCATGAATCTGATAGGGTCCAATGCTGTGCCCATTCAAATTTCGGATACTCTTAACTGCCAATGACATTTCAAGTCCATGTCACACACAAATATGCATTCATGGGTGCTTTTATAATAAATCAACAGATGTGCGCGAAATCTTGAGCATATTCACTATCCTATCCATATAAAAAATATACATTGAACCACCAAAAGCAGTAACATTTTCACTTTATATAAGGTGACCAATCATTCCTTATTTTCAACATGATAACAAGTTATTCTTGATGCATGATGAAGTCAAATGAGGGAATTATGTTACTATTGCAAAGATTCAGGAACTGGAAACACAAAGTTCATACTGGGTCATGGTTCAACCATCAAATAATGTTAGATCCATTATGGGTGAAACTAAAATGGAATAGCATGATTTAGAACAGGAGTTCAGGACCCCTGTACACCCAGATGCCCTAGATGGAAAAAAGAGAACGAAACTTCCACAAGACTAGCTTTCAAGTTGCTCATTCACTCTATTCAACAGTTTACAATATTTTATGATGAAAAGAGATTGTTCCCCAAATTCTTTCCCCAAATTCGTTATTCCAATTGTATCAAAAAATCTAAAAGTTGTCCTATTGCATTACGTTAAGAGCTGATAAAAAAGAAACAATCAAACAGACACCAAATTAGTGTACCAACAAACCATTGAAATGCAGCATCAAATAAACATCATACCTTGAAACACCTTTCCATTAATTTCAACCTCGTATGATTCCATGACTTCTTGGATGGCAGCACCAACATCACAAAGACGCACATCAATCCCAGATTCCTGAAAAGTTAAAATAAAAATCAGCACAAGCTGTACTCTGCAAATAATTAAGCATGAGTGACAAACTCTTCAGAGCAGTTAGGTATTGGAAACAGTCAAAACAAAACAAATGAAGTCCTTAATCCTCTCAAGAGAACAAGGAAAGAGTCCTCAACAGTAAACACTTAAAACACTGATCCTGACTAATCTTAGTAAAACATCTCCTCCCTCATGTAAGATAACCCATTCCAAGATTATCTAATCTTTTAGGAATGGATATACAGATGGTGAAAGAAAACATAGTCAGGCCGGCTATATAGCACCCTTTTGAAGGGAGTAAGTACAGGGATAGGGCATGCAAGAAAGATATTTTAGAAGAATTTGTAATAGGGAAGAAACAGAGTGAGTTCAGCTTTATTTGAATGTCAACTAAACTAATCAAATAGACCAATGCTTGTCCTTTTTGAATGTTAAACACAAGTCCCCATCAAGAGAAAACTACATCATCAGCATTAAGAATTAGATGCTATATCTTCAGCATTAGGAATTAGAAGACCACAAATTTCAAATCTATCCTTCCTTGGGCACATTACACACTCACAAAAAGTCAAAAATTAACTTCAGAGATAAAAGGTCATCACCTTGATTCCCGTGTTGGTTGCCTCACGTGAAGCTTCAAGTAGTGGATCAAACATAGGGTTGAATGCCACTGTAAATGCACAGTCCACGATGCGTCCTGCAAATTAAAAAATCACCCATTAATTAAAAGGCTCTAGCTGAGAAAAACAGAAGTGTTGAACCTCCATGTTATAATAAAAAAAATAAATTAGGAATTAAACCATAAAACCCAAAATGTATTACAAATGCTTTTACCATCAATATGGGTCCCAAAATCCAATTTCATCACATCATCATACTGAAGCACAGTCTTATCCCCTGAATTTGGGGTCCAATGAGCAGCGACCCTAACAATGAAAAAGAAATTTAATAAAGAAATAACCAAGGAAAAAAAAACCTACAGGTCACTAAATCCCCACATATAAAGTTGGCATTCACCAGTTCAGAGAGCATCCAGTAGGAAATGCAATGCCTGCTTGTAGACCATTCTCTGATATTAGCTTACGAACTGTGTTCTCCAAGGTCTCACAGAGATCCGTCATTAACATTCCAGGTTTCAAAATGCTTTTCATATACTTCCGTACCTAAAAACAAGTAGACTGCATTTCAAGAAGATGACACCAAATGCAGAGCAGGAATAAAGTTATAAGAAAGACTTATTAGCAACCTGGCGATGAACTTCTGCTGCCTGTCGAACTGAATTATACATTGGCTTTTCAAGACGCTCCAACTCTCTTTTCTCTTCAGATGTAGTCCTCCATAAATTACTAAATGATCCAAGTTCCCATCAATTTTCACAGAAAAAAGGATAAAAGATAATCAGAAAATTGAAAAAAAATGACAACTTATGGGACACACATAAATTTAATCAACAATTTGAAAATTACTGATCTCAAACAGAAAAGAAGCATGTATCATTCTACATTTACAAAATTAGTGTATTATATGTATGCATCTTCTTTTTGTATATAACTGCTACATAATTTTGCTAAAACTCAGACACGTTTGAGCCTATACTATGGCGCTCTAACAGTCGATCTCAGAAAAAAAAAGGAACAATAGTAAAAGAGATATTCACCCGTGAAGGCAAGTGATTGGAAAAAGAAAAAAACATATACTCACTCATCTTTGTAATGTTGAATTTCACCTTCAGGAAACTCCCCAGTTGGAAAGAGATCAACAACAGGAATAGAGGGTGGATCAGTCTGCTTTGGTGATTCCTTCTTTTTCCTGTGGATTACAGCATAGGAAATTATTGGCTATTGGGTGAAAACATCATCAGGAAAGAGAATCACGATAGGAACAAGTACTAACTTGCTTTTATTTTTCTTCTTCTTCTTCTTTGTAACTTCTGCAAGAAAGAAATTTGCAAATACACACAATTTCATAAATTTGAAACATTATGATAAATCATTAAATCTCCTCAAATGAGATAATAATACCTAAAGGCATACCGCTAATATCTCACAAAAAAACCCCATTTATTGATAATGAGAATCAATCCCATGTTTTTCTATTTTTTCTCGAAAAAACTCCTTATAAGTAAAAAAAAAAAAATGTACCATTGCTAAATTAACAAAGATATATAAGAATGAAAAACTCTATACAAACCTAGCTCTGCTGATAAATTGTATTTTCAAGATTTCAAAGAAAAAATTCGCGTTTTTCTCATTCCAGTTCTTCAGAAGCTTAGGCCTAATGATAAAACCATTTTCCCTGCCATATCCAATCCCCAGTTTGAACCTTAGACCTCCTCTAAAATCAAATCAAATTGATCAAATAAAGTGATTAAACCCAACCAAATTAACAATAAAAGCCCAAGAAATATGACAAATTACAAAACTTAAGCATAATCCCATAGCAAAACATAACCACAAAAACCATAAATTAAGCAACTTAAGGACAACCCAATAACATAAACAATCACCTTTGGTCTCTTCTTCTTCTCCTTCTTCATCTTCTTTTTGTATCACAGAAGAAACATCAGAAGAATCACCGTTTTCATTGCTAGTTGAAGCCTCTAAATTTCCATTTTTCTCTTCTTCTTTAGTCCCATTTTCTTCAACAGGAACTTGGGTTTTCAAGTCTTCACTCGCCATCATTCGAAGACCCTTTTGCCTCAAAGAACCAAAAATTCATACATCTTTTAGACGCTAAAAATCTATCAATTTAAATCAAGAAAACATTGAATCAAATAGGAAACAAAAAATAAACCCAAGACCCTAAACTTATTTTTACCTTGAGAACTGAATGTGAGATCGAGCTGGATCCTGATAATGCTGTGATGAAAAGAGTGATCGATAATTACATGCAGAGAGGCAGAGCAGATGAAGAAAGAGAGAAGAAAAGTTTGAGTTAAACTGGAGGCTATTTTAGGTTTTAGATGCGTACGCGCAAACCCGTGCGGTTTTATAGCTTCACAAGTGTTTTCTTTGAGGATAAACTTGTCCCTATATTTTGTAGATTGTTTCATTTTGATCTGTTAACTGTTTTTTCACATCAATCAAATCCCAATTCCACTTTTTAAATAAAAATGTCTATATGGATTTTGAATTTGTTAAAACGTAAATTAAATTATGTTATAATTTTTAATTTATAAGAAATACGTCGAACGTGGCATTTTCTAAACACGTCATGTATAATACAAGTGTTTTTGTATACTTTTACATTTTTTATCTATTTTTTATTTATAATATATAATTTTATAAAAATAAAAAACCCCTCTTTAATCAATTTTTAGATACATGTTATCTTCTAATCATGCAATGTATTTTAAAAATTTTGGATTCAACATAGTATGTTTTATAATGCAATGTGATATATAATATTTGTATAAAAATATTTTTTAATTAAAAATATATTAAAATATTTTTTTATTTTTGATATTAATATATCAAATTTATTAAATAACATTTAAAAATATTAATTTAATATTTTTTAAGTAAAAAATAATTTAAAATAACTTTAAAAAATAAATTTAACAATATTACTAAATAAAATTTTAATCTGATAATATATTGAATAATAAAAAAAATATAGTGATTTAAAATAATATAATAGAGATATAATAATTATATTGAATAATAATAAAAATATAGTGAATTAAAATAATATAATAGAGATATAATAATTTAAGAGGGTATTAGAGAATATAATAGCGGTTATATTTTAAAGAATATTTTATTTATAAATATATTAAAATAATATTTTTTTTTAAAAATATTTTAACTTCACCTATCTAAAAGATTAAAAATAATAAAAAAAATAATTTTAAAAAATAATTTTTTTTAAAAAACATAATTTTAACTGTATTTATAAATACATGAATAATTTCAATATTAACTTAATTAAAACAAGGTAAAATCGAGCACTAATTTAGAAATGAAAGACACTCGAATGGACCCAAAAACTGCAAGGACTAAAACATACGTTTTGGACAAGAGACGGAAAACCTAATCCAGCCGACCGGCGGAGATCTCAGACCGGTAAAATAAAACCTAACCAGACAAACAGTTAAACGCTGTCGCTTCCTTCTTCTCCTCCCTCTTCTTTCTTCAACAACAGACCCTCTCCACGCGATTCAAAATCCAAAAATTTTTCCATAGAAAATCAAATTTCTCAACAACCAAACACCCTCAGAGAAAACCCAGTTCCCCAAAATGTCCTGCAAAGCTTGTGGGCTCAGAACCCTTATCAGGGACGATGCAACAGAGAACATGATATGTGATTCATGTGGTACAGTCCAGGATTTCACCAACTATCAAGAACGTACCTTTAACATTAATGGGCCAACAGGTGTGTTTATAAGTATAGGCTCTTCAGGTTGTGGTAGTGCTTTGAATTATAGAGAGAAGAAGATTTATGAAGCAAATAATTTAATAGATGATATTGTTTTCAAGGTAGGGTTAACTGGTGGTTCAAAAGTTAGTGAAATTAGAGATATGATTAGTAAAGTTACTGATGGGCAGTTTGGTTCAAGTGAGAGTAGATGGTTTGGTATTTTTGTTGGTGCTTGTGTTTATGTTGTAATGAGGAATGGTGATAAAAGTTTAAGCATTGAGGAGGTGAGTAGTGTTGTTGGGTGTGATATTCATGAATTGGGGAGGATGGTCGTGAGGGTTGTTGAGCATTTGGGGATGAAGTTGCCAGGTTTTGATATAGTGGGCAGTTTTGAGAGGGTGGTTAGGAGTTTGTCAATTTCGGACAGGGTTGAGGGGGATGTGTTGGAGAGGATGAGGAAACAAGGTATTTTCTTAGTGCAATGTGCTGTGAAGTGGTTTTTGACTACAGGGAGGAGGCCGTTGCCGGTTGTTGTGGCTGTTTTGGTTTTGGTTGCTGAGTTGAATGGGGTGGAGGGGGTTAAGATTGAGGAGGTTGCCAGAGAGGTTCATGTTGCGGTGTCTACTTGTAGGTTGAGATACAAGGAATTGTTGGAGGTGATTGCTAAGGTAGCGCAAGAGATTTTGCCATGGGGGAAGGATGTAAATGTGAAGAATGCAGTGAAGAATGCGCCATTTGTGATTCGATATTTGGAGATGAAATGTATCTCGAAGAGTGGTGGGGAACAAAAGGGTTTGGAGAGTACTGAGTTTGATTTGGGAGAAGTGGTTGGTGAGTATTTTAGTAAGAATGTTGTGGAGGATAGTTTGGAATGTGAGGATTTGCGGTATTTTGAGTTGGAAGATGCTATGGGGTTTGATAAGACTGGCATTGATGAGGTGGATAAGCTTCAGCTTTCACATGAGTGCTTGTCCATGGTTTATGACAAGTTCTTGATGGATGGTGGTTGTGGTAGATATATGGAAGAAAGTGGAAAGGTTCTTGGGAGGAAAAGGGAGAGAGAGCTTGAGATTCAGGCAACAGAATGGTGGAATGGAAAATCAGAGTTGAGCAAGAAGCTTTTGCTAAAACAGTTATTGGAGAAAGATATAGGATTTAGTGTTATGCCTCCATCTTTTGTCAATGGTTGTACAACAATTAAGAAGAGGAGAGCAAAGATAAAAGCTGCAAAGCTGCGGATTGATAGGATTATGAATCCATGGAATACTGATTCAGGTAGTGGTAAAGTTTGCACTGTTGAAGGTGCACATGATCGGAAGAGGAAAAAAAAATCACTGGTAAAAGATATTGATTGGGAGGATTTTGTCATTGAGACCCTCCTTCTTCATCAGGTGAAAGAGGAGGAAATTGAGAAAGGGTATTACAACACCTTGATGGACTTGCATGTTTTCAATTCTGGTACTATGTGAGAGCTTACAGCACAAGAAGCAAAAAGGTCTGGTTACAATTTTGTCTTTGTGGAAGCAATATTGAAGAGTTTTTTTTGGAGAAAATAATCTCATGATATTTTTGGGGAGCAGATATGTTTTATATTTCAGCCAGAACTAGTGCTTTAATGTCTGTTTTTCATCTTTGTTACAACCCCTATAAATCTATACAAGTTCAATACAAAATTATGATACATAATGATTTCATTTTCTTGCTCTTTGTAGTTCTTTACGTGTTAACACAGTAATTCTGCCAATTGTCATGATCAATGATTTCATTTTCTTGCTCTTTATAGTTCTTTACATGTTAACACAGTAATTCTGCAAATTGTCATGATCTTTTGCTGGGCATGACGGACCACCATTGCCCTCAGGGGATAGTATGTTCCTCTGACTGCTGATTGTTTTATTCCTTACCATTTTGGGACTTCAACTTACAGCTTCAATTTCTTCCAGTAATATTCAGTACCCTTACTGTTTTATGGTAAAAAGAAAGAAAAGAGGGTCTTATTAAGAATGATATTTGAAAGATGTTTTTGTAGAAAAGAAGTCTGTTTGCTTAGTTCTCGATGGAGAAGGTTTCTGACTGTTCCAGACATATTTTGGCTTGCACCTTGCATCAGTGAAAGCTATGTCTGTATGTGTCAGTGGCATGGTTGGTTTTTCTTTCAAAATTGCTCTATAGTATGGCTCAAGTGCTTTAATTAATTTGTGCTGTTTCTGTCTATCATGTTGCCTGCTTAAAAAATTCTCATTAGTAGTTGTTTGGAAGTATATACATATGGATTGCACGGACCTTTACTTGTATATTAAGCTGGGGAGGTGAGGTTTTGAAGGATGCATTTCCTGGATTTGTTTCTTGCCTTGCATCTGGAGTATGAAGAAATAGGATCTAGTGTGAATTTTGAATGTTATTGAATGGGAGTATCTTCCATCAGGTTCCTTCCAACAGATAGTTTGGGTAATTCTTTTCTTTGCCATCTTATGATTGATATGGCTGCTGGTTAATGATGTGGTATTTGACACATGGACTGCACAATTGTAATCTATTTATTGTAATCTTAGTCAGGTTGCGTGCTCGGTTTACTGTGGTATTGCAGATTTCACTTACACGCCAACAATCTGTTGTTAACTGAGATTGCATTGCAAAATGGTCCAGCATCCACAAGACTAGGCTTTGCAAACTGTGGAGCCCACCTGAGGTGTGCTGGTTGAAATGGAATACTGATAGCTCTTTGATGGGCAAGCCCATTCCTTCTGGAATTGAGGTTGTTCTTGGGAACTGTGAGGGGGGGGGTGTTGTGCATGTTTTCACCAGAATCTGGCACTATGGATTCCAATTACTTTGAACCGAAAGCTATGAAAAGGGCCCTGCTATTGTTTACAATGTCTTGTGGCTCACTTGGGAGGGTGAGCACCCTTGGAAAATGCAGGCTGACTGTAATGGAATGTTTTCTCTGGCAACAAAAGTAAAAAAGTTGGTCTTCAAACACACACTGAAGGAAGCCAACTCTTTTGTGGACTCCTTGGTCGAGCAAGGTGTTAGGAGGCAACTAGAATTCCCAGCATGGATATAGAGTATGCTGTTCTGTTCTTGATCTGCTAGAGCTCTTGATATATGCAATATGTTATTTTTTTTGCATGTTGTGTTCACACTGCAGCTTTGTTTATGCCCCGGCAACATGCTGCTGAAGTGTGACTTGGTCCTAGCAACAGAAAGTAGTAGTTATCCGCTTTAGACTGTGTGAATGGCTGTTGTTACTTTGAATTGTTAATGATTGGAACTGTTACTTTAACACTTCTATTTGAATTTTGATCCCTCAGCTGGTGTCTTGGAATCAGTTAAACAAGCTCATTGGAGCTGTTTCAAACTGCTAGGAGTGCTGCATTCTTAGGTTGGAGCAATAGCTTCTGCTATTTTTGCTTTTCAATACTGTTTTGGATGCTATTGTGTTAGTTTTCTGCAGGGTTTTAGGTCATGTTTTTTGTAGGCTCGGGCTGTTTCACATGCTATTGCTGCAGGTTGTTCAAACTGCCGAGTTTTGCTTTCCTTTTGCTTTCTGTGTTTTTGGTTACGTTCTGTAATTTCTTTTGTTGAATGACATTTTTGTTTTTGGACGCAGATCTATTGGCAGATCACTTCCCTGCTTTGTAATTTTCTGCAGATTTGCAGAACTTGTATCATTATCAAGTGTTGGTATTTTGGCCTCCTTGGTGCTTGCTAATACAAACTGAAAAGGAAGCAGAGTGAAAACCATGTAACTATTTGTTTTTGGTCTTGGACAGGAGAAAACTTTGAAACCTTACATTTGGAAGGGCAAAAAAGGTATGGTGATATACCATCCAGTATTGTTCTCAGTTGCGGGGACTTGTTTTGAACCAGCTCAAATACTAGGTTTCCATACCAGCAGAATGGATTTTTAGGATTTGTTGCACTCATCCACCCAGACTTTGAAGGAAATATTGGCCAAGGGAAACCTTCATTTTATCTATGATTGATGCTTGCTTGTTAAGCCATGCTAGGAGAAAAGGAAAAGCAGCAATCAAGCATGGCATCCTTAATTTATTTCCTTTTCCATCTCATTTCTGGCATTGATATGGCATTTCATGCCTACTCTAATGAGAAGCCTGTTTCCAGTGCTGACTGCTAACAGTCTTACAATTTTTCAGTTCATTTTCTTGTTCAAATTGTTTTGCTTTCCTATTTATTGGGTACTGGTCAGCTGCAAAGAGGACTTCTAGCAAGTAGTTAGCTTCCTGCACATTTTGGGTCTAGAATTACAACATTCTTTTAACTACTTTTGTGTTTCAAGTTCCATTTTGTTCTGTCTTTTGTTTTCCGGTTGAGATAGAGAGAAAGTCCTCATAATTGCATTCTTTTTTTTTGCTCGATAAGGAATTTGACACTGTTGAGGGAACACGTCAAATTTCTGCAGTTCAGATGAGATGTTTTGATGGGTTCAATCTGATCATATTCTTTTTTAATGTCGGTCTTTGCACAGCCTAAGAGCTTGAGACTGGTTCCAGAGGCAGTAGAAGCATTTTGCAATTGCAACTAGAATTTGTCAAGCGCATTAAAGGTGATTTTGACACCTAACATGAGCATCTCTTTTTATCAGAATTATAATTTGCTTTTATTGTCTTGTGAAATACTGTTTTGCATAGCTCACCAAACCATGGTGAGAGAATTGCAAAATTAAGGAAATAAAATGCAACAAAAGGAAGCTATATTTAGTACTTAGAGCTTGAGGAACTCTTGCAGGCAGCTGGTGAAAATACAAAACTCTTGACGTGCATTACTGACCAGCAGCAAATGCCTCGACTGGGAATGTTTTGGTGATGCCAGCAAGACTCTTGAAGTGAATTTTGCCGGTTGGTGGGTCATCAATGGTTATCTCATTTACTGGTGGCCATAGCATGAGTTCCTTGGCTTTCACTCCCTTGAGTTTCCTTATCTGCTTTTTGCTAACATAACCCTTTATATCAGTGTCATAGCTCACAATCTTGCTGGCTATCTTGAAGTTGTGTTCGACCTTCTTCTTTTGGACGATCCACATGTATCCAGTACTCCTAACAAAACCAACTTCTATCACGTCTGCAAGAGGGAGAAGTCCCAGGGGAAGTCCAAACTCCTCAAGAAGAGAGATTGCCATTTTAAGCCCTTCCTGATGACCCTTTGCGACAACTCCTCCTTCCTTCTCAGCCATGGATGATGGTGTCTCTTTGGTTAGAATTCACTTTTGAGGCTAATTTGTTTGAATGGAGTTGCTTTGAAGGAGTACCTCTATTTAAACCCAGTGCTCATATGCACAAGACAAACTTAATGGAGAAACCAAAGTGACTTGCATTGAATTAACCACCACCAGAATTGGTTTTCACTTCAAAAATTGGCTGTTATCGTAAAAAAGTTGGTCTTCAAACACACACTGCAGGAAGCCAACTCTTTTGTGGACTCCTTGGTCGAGCAAGGTGTTAGGAGGCAACTAGAATTCCCAGCATGGATATAGAGTATGCTGTTCTGTTCTTGATCTGCTAGAGCTCTTGATATATGCAATATGTTATTTTTTTTGCATGTTGTGTTCACACTGCAGCTTTGTTTATGCCCCGGCAACATGCTGCTGAAGTGTGACTTGGTCCTAGCAACAGAAAGTAGTAGTTATCCACTTTATACTGTGTGAATGGCTGTTGTTACTTTGAATTGTTAATGATTGGAACTGTTACTTTAACACTTCTATTTGAATTTTGATCCCTCAGCTGGTGTCTTGGAATCAGTTAAACAAGCTCATTGGAGCTGTTTCAAACTGCTAGGAGTGCTGCATTCTTAGGTTGGAGCAATAGCTTCTGCTATTTTTGCTTTTCAATACTGTTTTGGATGCTATTGTGTTAGTTTTCTGCAGGGTTTTAGGTCATGTTTTTTGTAGGCTCGGGCTGTTTCACATGCTATTGCTGCAGGTTGTTCAAACTGCCGAGTTTTGCTTTCCTTTTGCTTTCTGTGTTTTTGGTTACGTTCTGTAATTTCTTTTGTTGAATGACATTTTTGTTTTTGGACGCAGATCTATTGGCAGATCACTTCCCTGCTTTGTAATTTTCTGCAGATTTGCAGAACTTGTATCATTATCAAGTGTTGGTATTTTGGCCTCCTTGGTGCTTGCTAATACAAACTGAAAAGGAAGCAGAGTGAAAACCATGTAACTATTTGTTTTTGGTCTTGGACAGGAGAAAACTTTGAAACCTTACATTTGGAAGGGCAAAAAAGGTATGGTGATATACCATCCAGTATTGTTCTCAGTTGCGGGGACTTGTTTTGAACCAGCTCAAATACTAGGTTTCCATACCAGCAGAATGGATTTTTAGGATTTGTTGCACTCATCCACCCAGACTTTGAAGGAAATATTGGCCAAGGGAAACCTTCATTTTATCTATGATTGATGCTTGCTTGTTAAGCCATGCTAGGAGAAAAGGAAAAGCAGCAATCAAGCATGGCATCCTTAATTTATTTCCTTTTCCATCTCATTTCTGGCATTGATATGGCATTTCATGCCTACTCTAATGAGAAGCCTGTTTCCAGTGCTGACTGCTAACAGTCTTACAATTTTTCAGTTCATTTTCTTGTTCAAATTGTTTTGCTTTCCTATTTATTGGGTACTGGTCAGCTGCAAAGAGGACTTCTAGCAAGTAGTTAGCTTCCTGCACATTTTGGGTTTAGAATCACAACATTCTTTTAACTACTTTTGTGTTTCAAGTTCCATTTTGTTCTGTCTTTTGTTTTCCGGTTGAGATAGAGAGAAAGTCCTCATAATTGCATTCTTTTTTTTTGCTCGATAAGGAATTTGACACTGTTGAGGGAACACGTCAAATTTCTGCAGTTCAGATGAGATGTTTTGATGGGTTCAATCTGATCATATTCTTTTTTAATGTCGGTCTTTGCACAGCCTAAGAGCTTGAGACTGGTTCCAGAGGCAGTAGAAGCATTTTGCAATTGCAACTAGAATTTGTCAAGCGCATTAAAGGTGATTTTGACACCTAACATGAGCATCTCTTTTTATCAGAATTATAATTTGCTTTTATTGTCTTGTGAAATACTGTTTTGCATAGCTCACCAAACCATGGTGAGAGAATTGCAAAATTAAGGAAATAAAATGCAACAAAAGGAAGCTATATTTAGTACTTAGAGCTTGAGGAACTCTTGCAGGCAGCTGGTGAAAATACAAAACTCTTGACGTGCATTACTGACCAGCAGCAAATGCCTCGACTGGGAATGTTTTGGTGATGCCAGCAAGACTCTTGAAGTGAATTTTGCCGGTTGGTGGGTCATCAATGGTTATCTCATTTACTGGTGGCCATAGCATGAGTTCCTTAGCTTTCACTCCCTTGAGTTTCCTTATCTGCTTTTTGCTAACATAACCCTTTATATCAGTGTCATAGCTCACAATCTTGCTGGCTATCTTGAAGTTGTGTTCGACCTTCTTCTTTTGGACGATCCACATGTATCCAGTACTCCTAACAAAACCAACTTCTATCACGTCTGCAAGAGGGAGAAGTCCCAGGGGAAGTCCAAACTCCTCAAGAAGAGAGATTGCCATTTTAAGCCCTTCCTGATGACCCTTTGCGACAACTCCTCCTTCCTTCTCAGCCATGGATGATGGTGTCTCTTTGGTTAGAATTCACTTTTGAGGCTAATTTGTTTGAATGGAGTTGCTTTGAAGGAGTACCTCTATTTAAACCCAGTGCTCATATGCACAAGACAAACTTAATGGAGAAACCAAAGTGACTTGCATTGAATTAACCACCACCAGAATTGGTTTTCACTTCAAAAATTGGCTGTTATCTTTATTGCTTAAATGTTTCAACTGCAATTATTTTGTAATGTTTGTTATCTGTAACTTGTCCAACCCTGAACGGGAAAATTATTCTCCTATGCAATCTCA